GAGGACATACACAAGGTATCCCCAAGTGTTTGTTTCCTATACTAGTGTAGTTCTATATAAATTTGCGAGTCATCATTCATCATATATTTTGCTCAGTTTTGTAAATGTTCATATTATAGATTGGAGGTACTCCTGCAATCATTTGGTATTTATTGGAGCTTGGGTTTTTAGATGGAGATTGTATTTCAGGCAAGTACCTTGAAATTTATTTTCCAAGAATGTGATTTGTGTATATTTGTATGGAAATGATCTCCTAAGCACCTTATTCACCAATTAAATGGTGTGCCATGTTACCAGTGCTTAACATCAGCTAAGCATCAGTTTATATATATATATATATATATATATATATATATATATATATATATATATATATTGTGTGTGTGCGCGTGTGTGTGTGTATACATATACATATACATGTACCTTGCCTGAAGTCTAGCTCTAATACTTTCCTTTTCTGTAGATACGGAACAACCTTTGGCCGAGAACGCCAAACTATATCCATCCTTTCCTGAAGGTCATGTAGGCTTGCTCTGCCTATTCAATTTAACTTACTAAAGTATGCATTTGAGGCAATAATAAATGATGTCATTTGTCTTTTATTTCCAGCATATAATAAGACCATTGACGAACCCGATTAAGGAAATGGAACACATTCAGATCTTCATTAAACATACACAGGCATAATAAGACCTCTCTTTTGAGCATATTGTTGCAACATATTTTCATATATGTGCAACTTGACTTCTTATATTATGATAATGTTTTCTTTCTTCCTTCCAAAGATAGACTGTAAAATATTTGTGAAGGAAAGGTAGCAAAGAGTTACTTTTTCATTCAAAGTATGGGATTAAGTAGAAGAATGAAGTAGCAACTTTTTCCTTCAGTATAAGACTACGAATGAAGATAGCAAAAAGTTAATTGAACAAGATTACATATAGCATACTATAATTGAACAGGTTAATTTTACAAAGTATAGAGGATATGCACATGAATGGTATGTTCTTCGACAAAGTTCATAAAAAAATTTTTTGGGTTGTTGAGCTTTTAAAAGAAAACAGACACGTCTCTTTATAAGTTTTAAAGGATAGTTATTTCTAATGCTTTATTCCACTGCTCGTAGAAAGAGGGTTGCCACAATAATTGTCGACCCCATAGAGTAAAATTAGGGTAATTCGAGGGTATACTAGGCGGACGATCGCATCGGTAGTTGAAGGGTGAGCTGGGATCTCCACTATTGTTGCTGGCAAAGGTATTGCATGAAGGCCACTACCTCGTATTTGGTAGGCCATTAATGTTGAAGACTATGTTGCTATGTTTTGAATTTGATGATGAAAATATTAGCATCGTGCTAGTATGGGTGAAATTATCGGGATTTCCTTTGGATTGTTGGAATTCTAGAGCATTGGCGAAAATTGCTTCTAAGATTGGGATCCAATATCCCCGAATAAACTCACGTCGAACAAGGAGAGATTATATTATGCTTGGGTTTTAGTGGAGGTTGATGCATCCAAAGACTTGGTTTGATCCGTGGAAATGACTCTACCTACAGGTAAAAATAGAATTCAACAAGAGGTTTTCAAGTACGAGCCAAAATTTTGTAGTAATAGCAAGATGTTTGGACATAAGACAGCTTCGTGCAATTTAAAAAAAGGCCAGCAACCAATGTCAAGCTATTGAGGCTTTTACAAAACACACTCTGAGTCAAGAAAATGGGTAGGTTGCTGGGAAAATTAAGGGCCATATTTCTGCTATTGAACGTGTTGGACAGATTGGAAATGATGGTGATTTTCTAGCTAAAATGAGGGTGATACAGCAGGTTGGAGTAATTGGGCAGCAGGCTATGCAAAAGGAGGTTCCGTTTGTTGAGGTCATCAATAAGACAAAGAGTATGCAACAAGGGAAAAATCTGATAAGAATTACTCCTATACGGATAAACAAAAATGATGGTATCCATACGGCTATACCGGAGGAAGATTGCTCATCAAGTGTGTGCGATACAACTACTAAGGCAGCTAATAAAGATAAACTAAAAGGAAAGCTTAAAGGGCAAAGTATTGGAGACTACGCCTCATGTCATCCATTGCTCCGCTACTTGTAAGGTAACTTCACTTATCTTTCTTGTTAGCTTTGTTTATGATTATCATAATATTGTAAGTCATAGGCCTCTTAGGAATAACATCATGGAGTATGGTTTACATTGCCCTTCGCCTTGGTCAATTTTGGGGGACTTCAATAATGTGCTCAAATTTGATGAAAAAAGTAATGGAACGGATGTTACTCCCTATGAGGTGAAGGATTTTGAAGAATGTTGTCTTAATGTTGGACTATCCAATGTGAGGTCAATTGGATGTTTCTTCACTTAGATTAATAAAATACTTAAGCTAAATTGTTGTATCAAATTTGTGCATTTTAATTACTTTAGGATAAAGGAATATACAAAAATGTCCTACAAGAAATGGACCAGAAATGTGGTCTTAAGTTTCCGTCATATGAGATATCCCCAATAGGTCCTTACAAGACTGCATTTGCTACCTTCCCTTCTCATATATTTTATAGTCTATCTTCGAAAGGAAAAAAAGAAAACCTTATCATAATGTACAAAGTCAAGTTGCACATATATGAAAATCTGCTGCAACAATATGCTCAAAAGAGAGGTCTTATTATGCTTGTGTATGCTTATAAACTCGACGACCCTCCTCACGCTCTCCACTACAAGTCAGGTGTCTCTCCGGATGGAAAAATATATAAATCATGAACATATTTTCCACACTAAAAGGTGTTGAAAATGCAACAAACCAAAGTTGTTTGCAAAGCTTTGTCAATTGTTGAGACCTAAGAGTCCAGCAGTCAGACCAACTAATTTTGATGCTTTTATCATTATTGTTTTTTTGTTGTATCACATTTTCGCATTTTAATTACTTTAGGAGAAAGGAATATACAAAAATGTCCTACAAGAAATGGCCCAAAAAAGAGGTCTTAAAATTCCGTCATATGAGACATCTCCAACGGGTCCTCACAATACTGGATTTGTTTCAATTGTTGGGGTTGGAAGTGACACTTTCCAAGGAATTGAACCTAGAACTAAGAAACAGGTAGAAGCAAATGCTATTGAAGTGGCTTACATTGCTCTTACTCGATAGTTGACTTGGCTGTCAAAGCAAACGCTAAACCTAATAAATAATTAGTTTCTTAATCGAGTAAGATTACTATAAGCCACTTCAGCGGCATTTGCTTCTGCCTGCTTCTTAGTTCTGTCTTCAATTCCTTGTAAAGTGCCACTTCCAGCCACAACAAATGACACAAATCCAGTCTTGTGAGGACCTATTCGAGATGTCTCATATGACAAAAACTTAAGACATTCTTTCTGGGCCATTTCTTGTAGGACATTTTTGTATATTCCTTTATCCTAAAGTAATTAAAATGCACTAACATGATACAACGAAAAAGCAATAATGATAAAAGTATCAAATTAGTTGGTCTGAATACTAGCCTTTTGGGTCTTAACAATTGACAAAGCTTCACAAGCAACTTTGGTTTGCTGCATTTTCAACAACTTTTAGTGTGGAAAATTATGATCGTGCTCTATATATTTTTCCATCCACAGAGACATGTGACTTTTAGTACAGAGTGTGAGGAGGCTGGTCGAGTTTATTAGCATACACAGGCATAATAAGACGTCTCTTTTGAGCATATTGTTGCAATAGATTTTTATATATGTGTAACTTGACTTGGTACACTATGATAATGTTTTCTTTTTTCCTTTCGAAGATATACTGTAAATTATTTGAGAAGGAAATGTAGCAAAGAGTTACCTTTTCATTTAAAATATGAGATTGACTACAAGAATGAAGTTAGCAACTTCTTCCTTTAGTATGGGACTACGAATGAAGATAGCAAAAAGTTAATTGAACAAGGTTACATATAGCATGACTATAATTGAACAAGTTTATTTTACAAAATATGGGACCACAAGTATGGAGGAAATGCACGAGAATGGTTTGTCCTTGGATAGAGTGAATAATTTTTTATTTTATTATTTTTCATTTATTTTTTTGGGTCTTGGAGCTTTTAAAGGAAAATAGACACGTCTCTTTATAAGTTTTAAAGGATGGTTGTTTCCAATGCTTCATTCCACTACTTGTAGAAAGAGGGTTGCCACAATAATTGTCGACCCCATGGAGTAAAATTAGGGTGATTTCGGGGTATACCAGGTGGACGATCGTGTCAGTAGTTGGGAGGTGAGCTGAGATCTTTATTCTTAGTCCCATACTGAAGGAAAAAGTTGCTAACTTCATTCTTGTTGTCAATCCCATACTTTGAACTAAAAAGTAACTTTTTGCAACCTTTCCTTCTCAAATATTTTACAGTCTATCTTCAGAAGGAAAAAGGAAAACCTTATCATAATTTACGAAGTCAAGTTGCACATATACGAAAATCTATTGCAACAATATGCTCAAAAGAGAGGTTTTATTATGCTTATGCATGCTTATAAACTCGACGACCCTCCTCACGCTCTCAAGTCAGGGTCTCTCTGGATGGAAACATATATATAACGCTCGAACATATTTTTCCATCATAAAAGGTGCCAAAATTGCAGTAAACCAAAGTTGCTTGTGAAGCTTTGTCAATTGTTGAGACCCAAGAGGCTAGTGTTCAGAGCAACTAATTTTGATGCTTTTATCATTATTGCTTTTTTGTTATATCACATTTTTGTATTTTAATTACTTTAGGAGAAAGGAATATACAAAAATGTCCTACAAGAAATGGCCCAAAAAAGAGTGTTTAAAATTCTGTCATATGAGACATCCAGTAAGTCCTCACAATGCCAGATTTGTTTCAATTGTTGGGTTTGGAAGTGACACTTTCCAAGGAATTGAAGCTAGAACTAAGAAGCAAGCAGAAGCAAATGCTGCTAAAGTGGCTTACATTGCTCTTACTCGATAGTTGACTTGGCTGTCAGAGCGAATGCAAAACCAAATAAATAATTAGTTTCTTACTCAAGTAAGATTATTGTGAGCCACTTCAGTAGCATTTGCTTTTGTCTGCTTCTTAGTTTTGGCTTCAATTCCTTGGAAAGTGTCATTTCCAACCACAACAAATGACACAAATCCAATTTTGTGAGGACCTGCTTGGGATGTCTCATATGACAGAAACATAAGACCTTCTTTTTGGGCCATTTCTTGTAGGACATTTTTGTATATTCCTTAATCCTAAAGTAATTAAAATGCACTAACACGATACAACAAAAAAGCAATAATGATAAAGTATCAAATTTGTTGGTCCGAATACTGGCCTCTTGGGTCTTAACAATTGACAAAACTTCACGAGCAACTTTGGTATGCTGTATTTTCATCACATTTTAGTGTGAAAAATATGCTCGTGCTGTATGTATTTTTCCATCCAGAGAGACATGTGACTTGTAGTGGAGAGCATGAGGAGGGTAGTCGAGTTTATTAGCATACACAGACATAATAAGACATCTTTTTTGAGCATATTGTTGCAATAGATTTTCATATATGTGCAACTTGACTTCGTACATTATGATAAGGTTTTATTTTTTCCTTTCGAAGATAGACTGTAAAATATTTGAGAAGGAAATATAGCAAAGAGTGACTTTTTCATTTAAAATATGGGATTGACTACAAGAATGAAGTTAGCAACTTTTTCCTTCAGTAAGGGACTACGAATATAGATAGAAAAAAGTTAATTGAACAATATTACATATAGCATGACTATAATTGAACAAGTTTATTTTACAAAGTATGGGACCACAAGTATGGAGGAAATGCACGAGAATGGTATGTCATTGGACAGAGTGAATAGTTTTTTATTTTGTTGTTTATTTTTTTTTTTTTTTTTTTTTTTTTGTTTTTGG